GAGAGAGAGAGAGAGAGAGAGAGAGAGAGAGAGAGAATCGCAAAAAATTCTAAACAACGGTAGTCAGTTTTGCTGCGTCGTGAGGAGTTGATCGAGAGCATGTGAGAACATGTTTGTTGTGTTGATAAATTTGAAACTGAAACTGATTAATTAGTCAATCCGGCTCTCAACAGAAAATGGCCAAATCAATTAATCAGGCAATGAATCAATTACAAAATTAACCATGTAAATAAGAACTAATAAAGTGACAATGAGCCAAAAGGCAATGAATGTCTCCATCAAACCAACCAATTAGTCAGATAAGAAAATAGAAATAATATAGTAATCAAAAACAATCTTTAGATATACGAGATGCAAATCTAGGTTATTATCAACAACAATATGATGTTTTAATCTTCAGTTATGCAAATGTGCGTTCATATTTTTTTTTTAAACTTGAATTGACCGTTTTGAAATCATAATATTCCATCAGTTGATAGATTAATTAATCAGTTAACATCCACCAATGTGGGCGGTTGGCGGGTGCTCTGGTGTGGTTAGGTCCTTGTTTCCTATTCAATATATATCGCTCTTATCTGTCCTCCTACTTTTTTAACGCGTTTCTCTCTAGCAACACATTCAATTCTAATCCCCGGCACGTATATATTATGACCTAATTGCATTTCAAAGGCAGTAAAATTCTTACTAAAAGTAATATGTTCTAAGAAAATCAATCAATTAATATCATAATCATTAATACCAAAACAAAAATAAACAAAACATGGACTAAGAAAATAGCATAAAATTAAACTTACAAAAACAAAACAAAATAAAAATCAATTAATAGCATAACCGATGAAGAGGAAAAAAAATAGTAATATAATGCCCAGTCACCTGAATATCTCCCATCTGAGGGTCCTGAGTCGCTTTCTTCCGATCTGAGAGCGTCGTCATGGGAGACCAGCTGACGGTGAGGGTTTCTGTCCCTGACCACGCCCGGGTCACCGTGCCGGTTGTTTGAGGTCACGTGACCGCTTGGATTGTCCACCTCTATGACGCCAGGGGGTCTCTTGTGGATCCAGACGTGCCTCGATGTCGTCGTGGTTGTGGTCGTAGTGGGCGGTCTCTTTGGCTGAAGTTCTGTTAAAAAGGGAAGAAAAAACCCCCCCAATAAAACAGATCAGCATCTTAAACGTTGGGGTTCTCCATCTGCAAGAAATTTTGCTAGAAATGTTTGACTTCTAGATAAGATAAGATAAGATAAGACAAGATAAGATATAACATAAGATAAGATAAATCGTTTTCTGCCAAGACTCTGGCACTCTTTTAGCATTTCAACACACACACACACACACACACACACACACACACACACACACACACACACACACACACACACACACACACACACACTTTTCGCGCGCAAAAGCACATACACCTGTAGACTCAAACACACACACACGCACACACACTCACGCACGCGCGCGCACACTCATGCGTGCGTATACCCATACATACATTTTATTCTCTCACACATTTTCCCTTCCACGTACACGTATATGCACATTCACAGATGATTATACTCATAAACTAACATTGAAAGAGGCTATGTTTAATGAACACGTGGAAGGTGGAAAAATCTGTTTATGTGTTCCTTATTAATATGCATCATTTCTTACAAATTATATTATTGTTTGCTGCGTACTCTTTTTTATTATCGCAATCTAAAGTGTTAATACTCGATCTCACGATAACACATTGCCATTCAAGAAGAAGAAGAAGAAAAAGAAGAAGAAAAAGAAGAAGAAGAAGAAGAAGAGGGATAATAATGATAATATCAATAACCACTTTGAAATTACGCATATATGCAGGCTCTCCAGCATTCGTTATGCGCTGTGCGTTTTACAAATAATACCACCCCCTATCCCTCCCCGTCCCCTCAAGCAGAACTCTTAGAAAGCTTCTCCGCTCTCCCAGTATTACATAATAAAAGATGTGAATTACAAGCACTAAATTCCTCACAATCTTTTAGGCCGTTTTGCCAGGTACCTATTTCGCTTGAGTGAAGTGAAGAGAATTCTAGTAAGGTGTCTTTCCCGAGTGTCCAACAGGATTCGAACCCAAGACCTCACAATTTAGAGTCCAAAGATGTCTCCACGTACCATAGAGTTCCACACACACACACACACACACACACACACACACACACACACACACACACACACACACACACACACACACACACACACACACACCGACGATATTACCATGTCTTTTTAAAAAAATCATGCTGCCCTCATCAGCAGTACCATAACAACCCTTATTATCCACATCATTATCTTTTGAAGTACTAGCAGTTGTAGTAATTACCAATGTCAGAAAATATAAGAAACTCTCTATTGTCCAGTTCATGGCACATTGATTTTGTGTTTCACCACGTACACACACACACACACACACACACATACACACACAAAAAAACATGTACACACACACACACACACACACACACACACACGCAGGCTCTCTCTCTCTCTCTCTCTCTCTCTCTCTCTCTCTCT